TTGATATTGGATGAAGCAGTCCAATATGTATGTAATGCAATATTTTGTGGTTCAGGTGAAGAACAAGAACAAAGGGAGTGAATCTTGCTTTGAAGTTGTGCGAAATCTTCTCATCTTCCTTCATCTGTGAAATTTACCAGATTTACTTGAGTTTCACATGCTCCTAAACAAAATGCGCGTACATCAGTTTCTTCTCTACAGAAAATTTTCGGAAAAAAAGATTATCCTCCAGTGACGAGTGCATCCATGTTTTTTTTTCTTATCACGAAAAGCTGCAATACTCGAAAAAAATTTATAGATAAAAATGCGTCTTAAAAAATAATCAGAGATGAATTCCATTTATTTTGGCGCGTATTCTTTGAACTATATGAAGTATGGCTAGCATAATAAATGAAATGGTAATTCAAAAAAGTGAAGAGTACTGATTTACGTGTGCGTGTCTTAATTAGGATTCACGTGGTCACGTCTGAACAATTTTTCTGAATTTTTGGAAAGAAGGTGAGCGGGTTAATTGCATGAATGTGGTTTGCAACGGAATATGTAATCAATAGGTTACATATAGCTTGACATTTAGTTGCAATTTTCAGCTGAAAAATGAAACAAAAAATCTGGGAAGCCTTGTTTGATGACCTTTATCCGCTTCGATTTGTATCATCACACCTGTCTTGAAATTTGAATTTTGAATAATCCCTCCAGAAAATGCGATTCTTTTGAACCGATGTCTTAATCGAAGACTGAATTTAAATTTTAAATAATTCTCACACGCCGCCTAAAATTCTTCCTTCCCTTTTTTTTTCGACACAGGCTGAAAGAAAAAAAGATTCCATCGATGATGCTCTTCAACTGAGCCAATCAGTTTTGATTTCTAAATGTCAACTAAGACAATATTTCCAACTTGTTTACTTGAGAAATGTTTTGATTGCAACCACGAAGCCACGACAGGTTCGTAGTTGGCGAACCATTTGGCATTGATCAAAATTGATTCAGCAGTTTGTTCGAATGTCACGATTTGATTCCCCAATTGAGTTGAGTGACTTTCGGCGAGCCTCAGGATCTGAAAATACCGTCTTGAAAAATTTGAATAGTTCTAAAATAGTTAGAAACTTTTTCTGACCTCTTCTGCTTCTTCAACAGTGCTCAGCGCTGATCCGAAAGGTTGGACGAAGTTACTTATTCTGTATACGCCTGTGTTGTAACTGCAAAAACGGTCAAACGATTTATAATACGAAAGTTTCCATCATGAATATTTTGTTTACTTACTTCTCCAGTATTGCATCAAAATTCCTGCTGAAATATTGAAACGCGAGTTTCGCTCCAGAGATTGAATATCTTGCTAGCCTAGAAAAAGCAGATGCTTTGTCCTGGCTTCTGATGGTGGAATTTGCAGCAAAGATTTCCTCCAAGTATCTGGAAAGATTTAACATGTTGTCACTGAAAGAGCATTCAAAAAATGGTAGAAATCCTGTCTCATTGCATTTGATGAATTATAAATATGCGCTAGCTGTCTCCATTGAGTTTTCAACATCTTAGATGAGAGTAAAAAAAAAAACTTCTTGAAGAGGCATGACTTCAAGTAAATCTGAGCAATAATAATAGCCAAGAACATTGTTCTGAGAAATTAAAAGTGCAGTTGGATCCCAACATACAGACAATAGTGTTGGAAAAAACTTCGGCATGCCGACAAGTCTGCGCCAGATTAAGTCAAATACTGTAGCTCTTCTGTTTTGTAAAAACTTGAGAAAATTTAGCAGCTTCTGCTGGAGCCTAAGAACCGAACCCAAGTTTGGTTCCCAGGCCCAGCAAGGACATCTTCTGAATAGACTTTAATCTGTGTCCTTCAACTCTTCCTTTCCTGATTTCCAAATTTTGGATGATTTGGCACTTGCATTCAAATTGCTGACCCGAGCAGATCTTTGTGCAGAAAAGCTTTGTACGGGCCATTCCAAAAATCGTAACCAGTGTTCAAATACAAAAATACAACTCTTAAAAACTAGGACTGTTTGTCCCGGCCACAGCCCAGCTGCTTGATTGAGTTTTCATCTCCTAATTGGTTGATTTCTTCATCCAGAAGGCTCACATTTTTCATCACTCTTTATTTTGAATCTTTTTCCTTCCAATCAAGTCATCCATATCTATCAACTTTTTGTTCAATCAACTTTGTGAGACATTCTTTATTACAATTAACATCTTTTTCTCACAAATAGGACTTGGGGACTCTTGAGACTGAAAAATCTGTCCCCACCTTACAGACAGTGACTCAAAATATGAACATTTTCCCAATATTTCTGGAAAATTGAAAGATAATATGTTGTGTATTGCTAAGAATTTGAGCTATTTACATTTACAAGTACTAAACAATTATTCAATTATAAAACTACCCTAATCCATATTTAAAAATTGTGTGCTTCCTTTTTCAGTTTTTTCCATCATGTGTGTTTAGTATAGCAAGACTTGTTCTATTGTCCTTTGAAATACATGTGATTCTACCAAAACAATCAGATTCTGTGTTGTTCATCTGTAAATTTATTTTCCCTATCTTTAAGTTGAGAAAACATTATTTTAATTTTGGGGGACTTTTCTTTGTTTATTATGTGCAGGAGAACCAAATGAAAAATATTCCTATTGAAGTCTATGGGAAAATGAGGTCTGGCATGCAGATGTTACAACTTGGGGGGCAAGGGTCATGCACAAATTAAATCTGCATTTCAGGGTCCTATACTGCACAGTATTGGCCCATAAATGCCTTGGATTACCTGTTCAAAAGATCTTCATTTTCGGTGCAAGCCATGGCAGAAAGCATCTCATTTTTCTCTGCTGCAATTTGAGACCTTGAAAAGTGTTTCCATGCTTGCTCCCATTCAGGAGCATTTCCATTCTTCACACCATGACAATAAATGATTGATTTCACATTTGGATCAAAGCTGGAAGAGAGAAAAAAAAGGTGACAACAGTCATTGAGTAACTTGAATAAATCCAGGTCTTGTGTTACTAACACAGGGGTGTCAGGGTCCTCTAGGCTTTCATAATTTTCCATCCAGCTCTTGTACTGGTTGCTGGCATCAGTGCTGCATGCTGGGAAATCAACCTCACAAGCACTTTTTTGAATCAAGGCATCTTGAAACACATTCAGTACATCTATGTCATCATAATTGGAGGGTGTGTTTGTTATGGATGGAAGTGGCTTGTAATGCTGCTCCAGCAAATGTTGCTTGTAGCTCTTGGGTGGAATGGAATTTCAATTGTGGCTTTTACTGTATTCTTGAAATTAATTCTGTTTGCATTAGACAAATACCTTATAAAGAGGATACGCATTTGAAGAAAGCATGCGGGCATCTAGGTAGTTCAAGTTGTTGACAACAGCTCTCCATGGTAGATAGGACTGTTCTTCGACAAGATATTCTGTCAGAGTAAGAGCTGTTTGATAAGATAACAATCCTGCTTGAGCCAACTTGAAGGCATCATCCAGCACCTGTGCCCTGTTTTCTGCTGGGATTTCCAAATAGTTCATTTGGAGTTGGTTATTGATCATTGTCCAACTCTGCTCATCATAATTCACCCTGAACAGCCCTGCTTGCTTAGGATTCAGGATAATCTGTGGAGAAAGATATAATCCTCAATTGACAGTATTCAGCTCTCTTTTTTTTTCATTCTTACCCAATTGTTGCTATTGACATCTGGGGCCCAGGATGGAATACCACTTGGAAGGTCCTCAGCAGTGAGGAGGATTGCAGGGTTCTCTTGGGTCAACCACATGCTTGCTTTGAGATTTTGGAAATCCTCTGATTTTGCATTGAAGTTTAAAGGAACAAACCAGATAGGTGGTTCCTCTTGTTTGTTTTCTTTATGAATTTTGACATCCAGCAAAAACCTTGTCTGCAATGAAGAACATTGTAAGATACATGGATGGAAGTGGAAGATACATGGGTAAGATAAATGGATGGAACCACTTGAATACTGTACTTGAACTTATTTTATTATGAAATTTATTAATTATTACATTTATTTTTGGAGTCAGGAAAGTTAACATTTTCCAAATTTTGCATCCAGGCGCTTCTGCATAAAGTTGTGCTGAAAAAAATAACTGTTTTTTCTTCAAATAACTTTAAAAAAATTTATTCATGGGTATTCATTTGAGAATGAGGCATTACTATATAGAACTACACAATTACATTCACAGTGATTTTCAAAATTCTGTCCAAAATGAAACAGAGATCCATTTAACAGGCATTTTGAGAGATTGTCTCTTTTTTTTACCTGATTTATAGTTGCTGAGTTGTCAGAGTTCCTTGTAAAAGTGACAACAGGGGACCCAGGTTGAGCAACCCAACCTGTCATTATATCAGCAACAGTGTGTCCCTCAACTGAAACCTGGTCTTGCTCTGCTGCATCTTGCAATTCTGACCACAGAAAGCTGGTCTGAACATTTCCAAATTGATGCTTTTCCAGGTATTTGTTGATTCCCTTCTGGAATGTCTCTGGTCCAAGTTCACTTCTAAGCATGTGCATCAGAGGAGAACCTTTGAATCATAAACAAAATCGATTTTTAAATAATTTTTTGGGGCCCAATTTAAGTTTGCGCTTGCCTGACCTTTGCAAACATTGAGGTTGTCTGATCCTTGATGCGAATCAAAATCTGCATATACTGGATTTGCAGAAGGGAATGAATCTTGTCGCAAGTCATCCTGAGTTTCAGCGACTATGAACATTTCCATAAGACTCCAGTTTGGTCTCACCTTTTGAAAAGGCTTGAATGAAATTCACATGGAATGAATGGAAATTGAATTTGCAAACCTTTTTGCTGGCTATGTAATCAAAATAGCAAGCAAATCCTTCACTGAGCCACAAATCGTTCCACCATCCAGGTGTCACCAAGTTCCCAAACCACTGATGAGCCAATTCATGAGAAATTATGGATATGACATCCATTGCTGCTTTTGCTGAAGCTGTTTTGTTTTCTGCATCCAGGACTAGGTATGCTTCTCTGAAAAATAAAATAAAATCTTAGGTATTCACTGTTGAACAGCAAAACTGAAATGTTAACAAATATTTGTACCTGAATGTCACTAAACCCCAATTTTCCATTGCACCATAAGGAAAATCAGTCAATGCAATGAGGTCAATTTTTGGAAGAGCATAGTTGATGCCAAACACTTCTTCAAAGGATTGGAGCACCTTGGCTGCTTCAATGGCTGGAAAGCTTGCTCTGTTGATCATGTCTGGCCTTGTCCAAACCTGATTTATATTCATTGATTAATTTGCATGTATTATGTGTAATGTGAGATTTCAACTGGTCCATGGTTTATATATACCTTTACTCTGCTGTCCAGTGGGCTTTGCACAAACTCAAATTGAGACACCACAAAGGCCACCAAATATGTGGACATTTGCACTGATGTGTGGTATTCATCCCATACAAAACCATCTTGTCCTTCACTGCAAATGTATTGATGAATTTTATTTTTCTGGTCTAAACTGTTGCATATATATGCATGTATGCTCACATGGGTGTGGTTGAGAGAATGTCCATGTTAGAAAGTGAGGACCATCCATCAGTTGCTTTCCTCCCCAGGGTCACCTTGAATGTTGCCTTCAGGCCAGGTTCATCTAAACATGGAAATGCTCTCCTTGCATCTGCTGTTTGAAACTGAGTTGCTCCCATCCATCTGTAAATGATGGGTTTCACATACCAATAAAAGTCTGCTTCATAAATTTAATTTTAAAGAAGATTAATGTGTGTTCTCTCATTTGTTTTTGTCATTGGTTTGTCCTTTGTTTCATGCTTTAAAGTGATTGAATGTCTTTGGGGGGAGTTGAGTTGGGTTGGGTGGGGAGGGGGTTTGGATGCAGGNTGAGTTGGGTTGGGTGGGGAGGGGGTTTGGATGCAGGAGTCTTGGTTGTGCCTTGTGAACGCTGAAAAGCGGCAAATAAAGTGTTCTGTTCATTCATTCATTCAAGAAGATTTTCATAGGTATACATTGCACATGTAATGCTATGAACATTTTTACTTGAACAAGTTCATGATGGGAAGCATGAAAATATTTCCCCCCCCCCCCCCACTTTTTTCTGTGTTAATTTCCCTTGAAATGATCATGGCTGCAAGAAACAATATTTACCGCACACGCTGTACAGTTTTTCCAGGGGAAACTTCCAATATTGAAAAATGTTTAGGAAATATTATTAATCCCACTATTTTAGACCTGGAAGAGTTGTCCTTAAATTCTCTGGAGTTTTTTTTTTAAAATCCAGTAATGCTGAATGTGAAGGTGGCAGATATTGACTCAAGTTGGAGAGTAAATTAGAATAAATTATAATTAATGGCTAGCTTTTTTAGGGCTTGCACTGATCCCACAATGGTGCTGATTCTGATATTGAAGCATATATTCACCCAATACGTTTTTAAAAACTGCTAACTCTTGATCAAAAAAATCCAAAAGGCATTTTTAGATTAAAGAGGGTTACAAAGATGAGACAAAAATCAATTTATGTTGAGCATAACTCATAAAATGTTCATCAAATGAATTCAAAAATGAGGTACATGGGTATAACTCCAGCCTGGAAACCACAGGAAGATGACCTCACCTGGTTTCATCACCATGTCGGTAACTACTTCTGTAAAAACCCTTCAGCTTGTTATTAAGCTCAGCTTGAAAATTTGGGATCTCCAGCACATATGTGACATCAACTTCAGTTTCTTGATCCAGGTGGAAAATCATGAAGCTACCAGCAGATTCATAGGTCACCTCATTGACCTTGGTACAATTTCCAGAGTCAGTACAAAAACTGACGGTTTCTGCTGTTATCCCTGAGATGTCAACTGCATGCAAAGTGACATTCCTGCTGGGTGACATGCTCTTCAATTCAATGCTGACTCTGCCATCTATTAGAAAGGTCTCAAAGCTGGGGAAGAGCCTGATGTTGTAGTGGATAGGCTTGAGATGAGTGGGGATCCGTTGTGCCAATGATAGGTTCAAAGTGGACAAAGTCCAGGGGAGCAAAAGAATAAACACACCTGAGGCAAACTGCATGGCACTTATATTCTGCCTGTCCTACTAAAAAAAAAAATGTTTCCAAATGAAAGTTCAATTCACTCATCTGCACTGTTGCAACTTTGTTAAAAACACATGGTAAATTACTTCAAGCACTGGGTAATGCAACAGCCCAGAGACAAACAGCATTGCACTTGGATTATGTCTGTTCTACTCAAAAGTAAAATTTTCCAAATTAAGATGGCAATGAAACCTTGCCAAAACCACATGGTACATTACTTCAAGCACTGTGTAATAATTCTGAGTCAATTTTCATCAGTGCATGACTGCCTGTCTTCTGTGCATGGGTACTATAGAGCATGTTTGGGAAAATGTGTAGGGTATATATACTTTTGTTCCCAGAGATGAAAGATAAGAGGAGAGCGTTGTCTGAGAATAGTGTATAGTGTATTCTTCAAAACAATGAGAGGGCAACGTCCCCTTTTGCCCCCTTTTCTGTATCAGTTTTATGAGGTCAATTCTCACAATGAATGGAGTTGCTTGCATGTCAACAATGATGAGCGTGTTGGAATCCTCCCAGGAAAAAAAATACTGCACTGGTACATGTACTATATTCCAGCCTGAATGGGTTACCTTTTTTTTTTTTACATCCTAATGAGCCTTTTAGCTTTGCTGTAGCTGTATTTTGGATTTAGGTCTCATAAAAGTGTTAACATTTTGAAATTTGTTTTAAAAAAAAGTCTAGTTTTCTCTGTGTATGCTGTGTCTAGTTTTATCTGTGTATGACACAAACCCATGGTGGTTTGTGTCATTCCAATAAGTTTCCGTAGTGTTCTTCCAATAAACAGGATAGGAAATAGCTTTGTTTCATGCTTTGAAGTGATTGAATGTCTTTGGGGGGAGTTGGGTTGGGTGGTACGGTTTAAATAAGTTAACTTCCGATATTCTTTGAAAAATGTGTTTGATCTAATTATGAAATTGCATGCTTTGTATTTTCTTTGCTGAGAAAAAGCGTAATAAAGTTTTCTGTTCATTCATTCATTGATTCATAGATAGGAAGTTGAAGTTTGGCTAAGAATGGTCTCTTGGATATGGATTTGGATGAACAAGTATTGTCCAACTACTGTACATCAGCACAATGAAGACATGCTTGGCAAACAAACTCATTAATGTCTTTAATAAAATAAATATACTCATTGAACAAGTTTTCCAATTCTGGACATATTATGCAGTTGGTCAAGATGTTCAAGAATGTCAATTGGCTGAACAGAACTCAATTTTCTGCAGATATTTTGCAACAACTTCTAACCTTGCTTAAATCCGCCATTGCAAAACTTGTGAATGGAATATTTCTTGTTCAATTGAATCCTCAAATGGTGTGGAGAAATTGTCCAAACATGTCCATTCTTGGGACAGAACTTCTGCGGATATGTTCAAACAATTTTTGGACAATTTGAAATTCCCCAGGGGCATAAATAAAGATAAATTTGAGTCATGTTTGCCAACTTATTCAGAAAAAAAGCAATCAACAACTTTTTGGTACAAACAACTTTGTTGTTGCCTTAAATTTTCCTAGTTTCCTGAGTTTAAAAAGTTAAGGTGATCCTTGCTGTATAAGGTTAAGTATAACCTCAATTTTTGTAGCAATTCAACAGAATTGTATTCTTGAGATATTTTCAAACCAGAAAAAATTTAATATTTTCTGTAGTTAATTATGCTGATGCGCTAAAAGATACTCTTGAATTTCTCGGAATCCAGCTCTATATATCAAAGAGGTTCTTCAATGACAGTTATTTGTAGAAAATTGATTATTCTTCCACCCTAGATTTTTTTTAAATATGAGGTAGAGCTTGGTAGCTAATTTAATTCACACAATTGAGCTTGTGAACGTGATGTGACCTTTGATCCATTTGAATCTACTTTATTTTAGACATAATTAGACATAAAAAGCATGGTTTTTTTCAAGTCTCGGCCCTGATTTTGCTTGTAAGGTGTGTGATACAATATCAGTCATTTTGAAAGTTTTCCGAATACCCGCGGTTTCTGTCAAATAAAAGTTAGGCGCTTTTTCCAAACAAGAGTCCCTTTATTTAATCCTCCAATCATAAAAAAAAAAACATCAGGCACAATTTCAACCCCCTTTATGTTCAGTAGAGATCGACTAAAAGAAAACTTTACATACGCTTTTTCTCAGCAAAGAAAATACAAAGCATGCAATTTCATAATTAGATCAAACACATTTTTCAAAGAATATCGGAAGTTAACTTATTTAAACCGTTAAAAAATGGCTATCGTTTNCAAAACCACATGGTACATTACTTCAAGCACTGTGTAATAATTCTGAGTCAATTTTCATCAGTGCATGACTGCCTGTCTTCTGTGCATGGGTACTATAGAGCATGTTTGGGAAAATGTGTAGGGTATATATACTTTTGTTCCCAGAGATGAAAGATAAGAGGAGAGCGTTGTCTGAGAATAGTGTATAGTGTATTCTTCAAAACAATGAGAGGGCAACGTCCCCTTTTGCCCCCTTTTCTGTATCAGTTTTATGAGGTCAATTCTCACAATGAATGGAGTTGCTTGCATGTCAACAATGATGAGCGTGTTGGAATCCTCCCAGGAAAAAAAAATACTGCACTGGTACCTGTACTATATTCCAGCCTGAATGGGTTACCTTTTTTTTTTTTTACATCCTAATGAGCCTTTTAGCTCTGCTGTAGCTGTATTTTGGATTTAGGTCTCATAAAAGTGTTAACATTTTGAAATTTGTTTTAAAAAAAGTCTAGTTTTCTCTGTGAATGCTGTGTCTAGTTTTATCTGTGTATGACACATGGCTTGTGTCATTCCAATATGTTTCCGTGGTGTTCTTCCTATAAATGGGATAGGAAATAGCTTTGTTTCATGCTTTGAAGTGATTGAATGTCTTTGGGGGGAGTTGGGTTGGGTGGGGAGGGGGTTTGGATGTGGGAGTCTTGGTTGTGCCTTGTGAACGCTGAAAAGCAGCAAATAAAGTTTTCTGTTCATTCATTCATTGATTCATAAATAGGAAGTTGAAGTTTGGCTAAGAATGGTCTCTCTGATATGGATTTGGATGATATGTTATTTGTCCAAATACTGTATATCAGCACAATGAAGACATGCTTGGCAAACAAACTCATTAATGTCTTTAATAAAATAAATATACTCAGTGCACAAGTTTTCCAATTCTAGACATATTATGTAGGTGGTCAAGATGTTCAAACATGTCAATTGGCTGAACAGAACTCAATTTTCTGCAGATTATTTTGCAACTACTTCTAACCTTGCTCAAAACCGCCATTGCAAAACTTGTGAATGGAATATTTCTTGTTCAATTGAATCCTCAAGTGGTGTGGAGAAATTGTCCAAACATGTCCATTCTTGGGACAGAACTTCTGCGGATATATTCAAACAATTTTTGGACAATTTGAAATTCCCCAGGGGCATAAATAAAGATGAATTTGAGTCATGTTTGTCAACTTATTCAGAAAAAAAGCAATCAAAAACTTTTTGGTACATACAACTTTCTTGTTGCCTTAAAGTTTCCTAGTTTCCTGAGTTTAAAAAGTTAAGGTGATCCTTGCTGTATAAGGTTAAGTATAACCTCAATTTTTGTAGCAATTCAACACAATTGTATTCTCGAGATATTTTCAAATTAGAAAACCTTTAATATTTTCTGTAGTTAATTATGCTGATGCGTTAAAAGATACTCTTGAATTTCTTGGAATCCAGCTCTATATATCAAAGAGGTTCTTCAATGACAGTTATTTGTAGAAAATTGATTATTCTTCCACCCGAGATTGTTTTTTTTAATATGAGGTAGAGCTTGGCAGCTAATTTAATTCACGCATTTGAGCTTTTGAACATGATGTGACCTTTGATCCATTTGAATCTACTTTAGTTTAGACATAATTAGACATAAAAAACATGGCTTTTTTTTAAGTCTCGGCCCTGATGTTGCTTGTAAGGTGTGTGATATAATATCAGTCATTTTGAAAGTTTTCCGAATACCCGCGGTTTCTGTCAGATAAAATTTAGGCGCTTTTTCCAAACAAGAGTCCCTTTATTTAATCCTCCAATCATAAAAAAAACATCAGGCACAATTTCAACCCCCTTTATGTTCAGTAGAGATCGACTAAAAGAAAACTTTACATACGCTTTTTCTCAGCAAAGAAAATACAAAGCATGAAATTTCATAATTAGATCAAACACATTTTTCAAAGAATATCGGAAGTTAACTTATTTAAACCGTTAAAAATGGCTATCGTTTTTTTCTCTCTGGATACCTGAGGTTTGGTTTTTCCGTTTCAGGAAGGAGAAAATTGACTAGACCACACTACGTACTTTCCACCCAACTTTTTTTTTGTTAACCAGGAAATTATTATTTTTTGTACAAGACTGCTTAATTTGAAGCGCTTATGTAATAGTTAATAATCGCACAGCAACACGAGTTTAAAAAAAAACCAGCAGACTTTGGCCAAGCAAAAAAAAAACTTCGGCATTCCTTTTTGCAATTTCCCCCTATACTCTCAAAAAAAAAGAAATTTTCAAATGTTCACCAACGACCTATTGCTGGTTTATTCTTATTTTTTCAACTTGATTCAATCCCATTTTGTTCCCACAGCAAAAAGTTGATTTGTTCATGTTGAGCCATGCCCTGTTTGTTCTTTGAGCCACTGGGTCACAGTGGCCTCATGAGCAGCCATCCATTGGGCGTTGATCTCGATGCTTTCAATGGCTTGGTCCACTGCCCGAGCTCCTGACCCCAGGTCATTTTCGTATTCCTCTTTGAATGCCCGCATCTGCATTGCAAAATGAAATTGAAAATTTGGAGGCGTGAGAATTCACTGCAGAGCAAAATCAAGAGCATAGAAATAATTATATTCAGTACTAATATCAATACAGTTGAATCTGTCTGTTTGATGTACAAGTTTCACATGCTGATGCGAATTCACAACAGTGTAGATAAGGAGGAGGGTGCTAAAAATAATAATAACAATGCTAGTAATACAATATTGAACGTATCTATTATGTAAACAAATTGGAGAATTTAGAGCAGAGCAAAATTGAGTGAATAAATAATAACACGGTGATAATATTAATAATACAGTTGAAGCCATCAGTCTTTAAACTAAGTGGGGACAATGTAAATTCACAACAAAGTGAAGTCAAGAGTAAAGAAACAATAATACAGAAATAATAATGATAATTTTATTACACTATTGAACGATAGTTGAACCTGTTTGACTCTAATCTGAAAATGGGCTTCAACGAAAATTTCTACTCGGAGAATTTTTAATTCCTATGAGGATTTTTGTCTTCTTTCCAAAATGAAGCCCAGTTCCCAACTAAATAAAAAATCGGCAGGTTAATCAATGTACAAACACTTTTTGAAATTGGTCCAATATTTGCTGGGTCACCCTGCAAAATATTGTTTCCAGGTCCCCTTGGAACATCTTTATTTTTTTTTAGATAAAAAAGGCTCCGGTCAGCTTGTATCATGTTGATGAAATCGAATTTTTCTATCCATTTCAAATTTACTGTACACAGAAGCAGAAATTTGTAGTTATTTTCTAGACTATATTTCAGTGTGCTACTTGTATGAGGACCCGCCGCGCCAGTGTGATGCGCGCCTCATAAATTAAGGCAGAATATAACGGGATGTGGAAAAGCCACTCAAGGATAAAACCAGTCAAATACAGAGCCCCAGAAAAACCCTAGAACTTGAGAACTTTTGTTCTCTGACATTCTGTCTCCAGGGTCATCTTTGACTTGACTTTCCCTGGCCAATCCCAGGCCTCTAGAAAAAAAATCACCTGATCCAGAGTAGAACACTGGATCAAGGGTAGTCACATTAATGGATAACAATCCTTTCAATCCTATCTTCCTCATCTGAAGGTGTCTTTACTCTTGAGCTGTTATTGGGAACAGTTGTGCCCAAAAATTCCAGAGCTTACCAGAAGGTGTTTTTTTTTCTTTTGGTGATGGTCAGTTGGTGCCTTGAACTTGATCTGAACTTTCTAAAACCTTGTTGGGACAATTAAAATACATTTTAAAATTAAAAGTGAGGATTCTACCAAGAATTTCTGGCCCTTGTCAGGGGCTGATTTAGGGTTTCCTCTTTTAATGTCCTTTTGATCCACAGCCATTATTTTCATCCTTATATGTTGTGGTGACTGTTGTCCCCAACTCTACTTTATCATGCTGACACTCACTCTGGCCGCTTCAGCTGGCGTGTTGAAGGTGGCAAATGGGTTAATGAAGCTGTCCATGGCTGAAATTCCGGCGTTGAAACTGGGGGGTAAAATTAAGAGGCAGATGAATATTTTTCTTAAAATTCTGTATGTATGCAAACGGAGTTGGATTACCAAGACTTACTTTTCCTCCAGGTAGACAAAGTTGTTGAGCAAATAGTCGAAAGACAGGGACCTTCCAATGACTGATCCGGCGATGTTTCCAAATGCTCTGGCAGCGTCTTGGGATCTCACCGTCGAATTCTTCTCGAATGTCATCCCCAGATACCTTTTAAATCATTTGAAATTTTTGAGCTATTCAGAAAATTGAGGGTGGGTTTCTTTACAAAAAAAAAACGATTTTACGTCATTTTCAATCGATGATGATATTTTTAAAAAGTTTTTTTTTTTTCATTGAAGCAGTGCGAGTTGTGTGGATTACGAGAGAATTTTAGTCTGCAGAAAGTATCCTGAGTTTGAAAATGAAAGTTGCGTAAAATTCATTTTCTAAATTTCTGAAAATAGCTTTTTCATATTTTCTATCTTCATACAAAGAAAAAATACAAAGATTACATTTTTTTCTTTAGACAGAGATGAATTGGAAACGTAGAAGGTATCCAACACCTGCGCTCAGAAATCTGAACCAAATTGAATTATTTCAACAAGTTCAGGTGCCTTTTTTGTACCTGCTGAAATATGGAAATTTTTATGGTTTATTGCACACGTCCAACAGATGCAGAATGATACACATTTTCTGATGGATAAAATATGTTTCAACTTTTATACAATTTCCTGCAACATTTTATAAGTCAAAATTTTTTTCCAGCTGATTTTTGGTATTGGCTGTAATTTGAGGATAGGGTCATAGTCAAATTTTTGTATGATAGTTTCCAGTCATCCCTGATTCCAGGAATCAGAAGGAAATTTAAAAAAGAAAAAAAGATTGGAAGCACAAATAGCTGTACAATTTCCTGGAACCCGCAGGATGCATTTATTATAATTCATGAAGGATTCAAATCAATGTAAAACTGTGTATTGTTGTGGTTGTAATTGCATAAGTTTCATCTGAGCCCTTCTCATGCCATAAATGAACATCCCTTTTGTGTAACTCATCGTTTTGTCCAGTATGCCAACATTACATGCATTTGGTTTGAGAATAAAAATATTATCTGATTAAATTCTTGCCTTTTAGATAATTTTGTATGATAAGTTGGTGATACTGGCATGTTCATAATCATCATTGTGAAATGTGCTGATGCACTTGAAAAATATTCCATTTTCAGGAAATGTAATTGGCAATAATGAAGTGTGGTATGATGAGATATAAGTGTATATATCCAGAGCAATCAAATCAGTTCAGATATTTTAAGATCTCTAACTCCGATTTACATGAAGAAGAATGAATAAACATTGATAAGCTTCACAAATCCTTCATATAGGAGGTCCTCCTCTACAAATTGTATACTGTTCCATATCCTCAATTGTGGATATCTGACTGTTTTAAGTCAGGAATAATGATTACTAACTTGCTGAGAAGCCAAACTTCTTCAGTACAAGCCATGGCTGACAACANGATTTACATGAAGAAGAATGAATAAACATTGATAAGCTTCACAAATCCTTCATATAGGAGGTCCTCCTCTACAAATTGTATACTGTTCCATATCCTCAATTGTGGATATCTGACTGTTTTAAGTCAGGAATAATGATTACTAACTTGCTGAGAAGCCAAACTTCTTCAGTACAAGCCATGGCTGACAACATTGCGGTCTTCTCACTAGCCAAATTGGTCTTGGTGTAGTGCCTCCAGGCATGGTTCCATTCCTCCTCTCCTCCATTGGCCAC